AATTTAGAATGTATTTTTTTTCTTCATGATGAAATATTGTAAATCGATAAAATTTAGATATTTTTATAATAGTATTGTATTTTGTTGTTTTATTTTAGTTTCCCTGCCGATCCAATTAAATAAATATTATAATTATATTAATATTTAGGTTCTACGTAACTATTTCAAATACAGTCTTTCATAGATTTGAAACTGATCTTCTATATTATTTTCAGGAGAATAATAACAACACTAAATGTAAGGACGGCGTTGAAGAAGAACCAAGAGAAACAAAATTTAAAAATAATATTGTTTCAATTCTTTTAAAAAGGGAGTCTAAAGCCGTGTCCAAAAGTGTTCTTAAATTTAGTGTGTCAAAAAGGTTGGTATGCGTTTCTAAAAAGCTAACAGTTGCATCTGTGTCTTGAAAATCAGGCATGTTTAATTGTTGCGATCAAAACTTTAACGAACGCATCAGCTACACTTTGACTTAAGGTTTGAGTCGCTAGTTTCACGTTAATAAAATGTATAATCGTTGATCGTCTTCAGTACATTGCGAAGAAGATTCTCTTTTAATGTATTTTAGACAAAAATTTAAATATATATTATTAATTTAAATATAATATGTAATAAATAAATTATTTCGCGGAACATAGAGTTCATTGAATTGTTAAAAGTATCCCTCCACGACCGCGCACGCGCCAGCGTTACAGTTAACAACAGATTTCTTAGAAATTTAATTAATTTCTTAGAAATTTACCTGGAAGTGATAATAGTTTCATATTGACTTGTTCCTGTCTACTTATTTCACAACATCGTCCACGCCGCTATAACTCAGATTTCAAAGCAGACATTGCAGTACGCGCGCAAACCAATCCCTGCTTTCGGTCTGAATTTAAACTAATCACCAAGCATGTCTGTTTGTAACCTCAAAAGTGATTCGTATTTAGATCATGCGTCGTTTTGGTCTGAAGTAAGGCCACTTTTTGTGTGGAATTTGTTCTGAGTTAGACTTCCTGACTTATTATTTATTCGTAGCTCGTAGCTTACAATCAGAATGAACAAATCGGCATTCCTTAATATAATTGTAGGAGAAATGAAGTTATTTAAAAACTCCATAATCAAAGAATTTTTAGCAAGAAGAGTTCCATGGGCACCCTCTTAGAGTGATAATACGTTAATTCTTCGTAAAAGAGCCGCCGAAATGCCCTAATATTAAATTCGTATATAGAAACAAACCTCTTTGAATAAAACATTTATGTACAGTCAATTATTTACTTATTATTAATAATATGATTTATAGTTTAAAATATTTTTGTTTTACTCATTTGTATGTGTCTATTATTAAGATAACGACTTCCTCTCCAGGATATCTACAGCTGATCGATACGAGATGCCACTTGTGGAATAAAAATAGGACGAATTGATAGCTGTAATGTATTCTCTGTCCGTTGCGTGATCTCGAGTGAAGGATCAAAGATAACGCGCCTCAGATCAGTCTCGGGGGTGGTCCGCGCCTGTGCCCGACTTATAGTAGGTACATGTATGGTTATTGGTACATGGTATGGTTAATACATACAAATATATACACAAAATATCATTAAAACTTTATTTCATGTATACATTCATGGGAAAGTGTTGTTCTTTTTTTCTTCTGCGAATTTGAAGCTGGGTTTTCTGGGTCTATGCAGAACAAAAAACAGAAACAATACATATAGTGTGTGTATAGTTATTCAGTAAATTACATTTATAGAATATAGTGTATACAAGTTTCGTAGCCTAGCTCGGTATTGCGAGACGACTAGTTAGGAAGTCGCGAGGGCCGCCGCCGCCGGTGCCGGCGCCGCGCTGGGCAGAACGCGAATGCGATCAAAACTTTGCAAATACTTTCATTTAAATAATTAACTTGATTTCGCTCAAACGAAGCGCACGCAGATAGTTGCTTCCACCACGTAGCAGTTAGTAAAATAATAATAAAATTTTATACAAGTCGATACAAATTACATTAAACAATACACGTTGAAAATATTATAGCATGCTTACTTACTTTTATCTAAATTAAAAAATCAAACTAATCTTATACATATATGTATATATTTAACTTGTAAAAAAATAATTAACCTGACCGGCGGCCGCGACGCGACGAACCTCGCGGACCTCTATTATAGAGTAGATCTATTATAGAGTAATGCACAATTTTCTTATTTAGGTATATACAAAACACGTTAATTGTAATAATTTGTGCATAATTCAAGGTTTACATTTTAAATAAAATTTTCACGGATGTGTTTGGATTTTTCGGTTCCCGACGTTTCGAATGCTTTACAGCAATCATGGTCACGGGAGTGACTGAGGATTTAGACGTCTCAAAGGTCGTTATACACTGTTACAGACAGTGTCTACCCATAAATTTATAAAATGATTTCAAAAATGCCAAAATGCCACCAAAGTACCTTAGAATATTTGTCAATTTTTATTATAAACATTTTTTAAATAATTAATAAGATTTATTAATGTACATGACAATATTATTTATTACTAGCGGCTCACCCTCACTTCACTCGGGTTTGTAGTTAGGTATGCTTTAAACAGATATGAATAGTTATCAGCCAGCGTTAGCGAAAATTTTTTTTTTTTTTGTAATAATATTGACAAATATTGACATTAATATTTATACGATTCTAACGTCACTCAATTGCCATCAATTTTTTGCCTTCCCGGAACCTCTCCACTAACACTTAAACTTTATGTCATGATATTAAAGTTCAAATTGACTTTTAAGTATTATTAGGAATCTTTTGTATAGAAAAGTGTTGTTTTTAGACTTTTTCAGACAATTTTTAAAAACAAAAATTAGCGATATCGGTTCAGCTGCTCTCGAGATTTGCACTTACCAACATATTCAGCGATTCATGTTTATATTATAGATATGTGTATGTAGAAATGTAGCTATAGCTCGTATAAGATCTTTAGATTTATTATTTCGCTCACAACGCAGTCTTAATCTGTTCGACCAGTTGCAATCAGGCTCGATCGGGCGGTATAGTAGTCTTCTCAGACTCGCTCTGACTTACTGCAGGCAGGGACCGCGGTCGCGGCGCGCGGCGAACTCTACATTTATTCTATACCCGAGAATCTGTCACAATAAATAACAACTTGTTAACAATAAAATATTATTAAGCTATCTAAGCTCCAACTCTGCAATATCGAGCGACATACTTATTACGTGTACTACATTTCATTGCAGCAGATCGGCGTTTTAGTTGTGTTTGTGTGATTTTATTACACACTAGCGACTCACCCTCGCTCTGCTCGGGTTCGTCCCTAGCTTGCTTCCCCATACACTCACATTCCCCACTTTCATCCCCATTTTCACCCCTTAAGGGATAATTTTCGAGATAAAAATACCTATGTCCTTCCCAGGGTCCCAAACTATCTTCTTACCAAATTTAATCTAAATCGGTTTAGTAGATCTACAACGTCACAAACTCACAATTCACAAACTCACAAACTCATAAACTTTACCTCTTCATAATATTAGTATAGATAGATTAAAGTATTATATATAAAAAAAAACGTGTTATAGAAATATCACTCAATAGGTTACGACGCGGTCGCGGTTCCATACCTACGTGTATGTCGTATTATCTCTTCAACCATTTGTCCAAATTATATGCAATAAAAGGTAAAAGTTTTTTGTTTTAAACATTTTAGACGATAAATTTACTTATTTTGATAAGAATTCATAATTGTTGATAATATGACAAATAAACATACCTATCGATTTAAATTATTTTTTTAATATGAAAAACTACTTTTTGTGATTTAAATATAAAAGTTAGACATATGCTGTTGCTGACTTTTTTGTAGGCAATATTAAGCTCTACAACTTTCCTCTAGAACATAATCATATCTCTCATCGTTAAGGCAGCGTTCGTAAGAAACGTTTTCGTTCGACCGTTTTTTCTCCGACTTACTTTGCAAATCCGACTACCACGAAAAATTCTTTTCATTCTTCGGGTTAATATATATCCTATCACACTCATAAAGAACGTGGCTTTCTATTGGTGAAAGAATTTTAAAAAATCGGTTCAGTAGATCCAGAGATTACCTTCTACAACGTCACAAACAATATCACAAACTTTACCTCTTTATAATATTAGTATAGATTGATGTTATAATAATATTATAGAAATTTAAAGTTATCATAAAATGATGATGAAATGTTTTTATATTTTAAGAACATATTATTAGGACCTACTCCATTAAATTTAACTCATACAATTCCATTATATTAAGTTTCGATTTTAAAATAAATCTTGGACATGATCTTACTATTTCCATTGCCACTTACAAAACAAAGTAACACTGATTCAAATGTGCAATTAATCTTATAAATAGTATAATGAAGGAGTCGTGTACACCGCCGACCATGAACCAACAATAGTGGACTAATCAAAGTCGTCTCGAGCTAGAGCTTGCTTACATCCGCTCACCCGCGGCGACCCTCGCACCTCGCGCCTCGCGGCTCCTCGCGGTGAACACTGCGCAGTGCGCGGTAATTAAACCCCTTTGTGGATAATTACACGACACTCTATTAGCTAATGATCGACTCAACTCTCGACATTCCGCTCACGCAACTTTGAGATTGATCACTTTCAATACAAATTACAAGGGCCATTCAAACTTTACTTACCCGTTGAAACACTGATTGTTTTTGAATCAAGATATATATTTTATATTTACATAAAACAAATATTACTTTCACAAGCAAAATCTTCAACTATTTTTAAAACGTTATTATTTTGAAAATAATAAAAAAATGTATTACATAGTTAAAAACGGGTGTAAAACGCAGGTGTATACTATCCATTTTTTCTTCTCACTTGCGCTGATCAATAAACAGCTAAGTTTTTTAATCAAAATGCGGGGTCGTAAGATCTGTCCATTAGCATAACAATCGTCGCGAGCGGTGACGAGCGTCACTGCCACCTGCCTCCTCTGACCTGACAACTTAACGAATGGATTTAGCTGTTACAAAATCAACCTTACACATTTGTGATAACGATTATAAAATAAGCACCTTATTTATTCTCGTCTTGGTGTGGATGAATGTGTCGAACGCAAGCGGGTACTTCGCACTGGAGCCTCGAGACACGACGTACGTAGAAATACGTAGAAATTACAGACCTCAGTTGGCACGAAGACGCCGCGAGAGTGTATGTTCTACATAAGTTATTCCAATCGCCTGAAAACTTTAGACTTGGTTATGACATACATACATACTATACTATACTACACTACATGATTATTATATGTACTAGCAGAACCCGCAGCTTCGTTCGCGTTAAAAGTACAAAAAAACTCTAAAAAGATAGGTTTCATACAAACTTTCATCCCCTATTTTAACCCCTTATGGGATGAGCTTCGAAAAATTCTGAAACACGTATTTATTTAATTGTATTGAAGAGCATTAATACCAAGTTTCAAGTAATTGTGATCTTAAATATTTTTTTGAGTTGTATTATAACGTGTTTTCCCGTAGGATTAGATAGTCTCCCGCGGTAAAAAGTAGCCTATGTCACTCTCCAGCCCTCCAACTTTCTCCACACAAAAACAAATACACCATTCCGTCACTCCGTTTCGACGTGAAAGAAAGACAAAACAACAAACACACTTTCACATTTATAATGTTAAGTATGGATTATATGTGTATTCGCACAATTTATTATTATTTTAATTATTTCTGGAATTAATTTTAGATGGTTTTTGTTTTAATTTTTACATTTTCTAACAGAATTAACATAGCACTGCATTAGTTTAATAAATTACTAGCGACTCACCCTCGCTTCGCTCGGGTTCATCCTTAGGTAGGTACGTTTTAACGGTTAGTATTATTACTATAATATGCATGTATCATACATATAAACCTTCCTCTTGAATCGCTCTACCTATTAAAATACCGCATAAAAATCTGTTGTGTAGTTTTAAAGATCTAAGCATACATAGGGATAAGGGACAGACAGACAGCGGGAAGCGTTTTATACTATGTAGTGGTTATATAGAAGGAAGGATATTGCATATTACGTTTTTGTTTTATTGCATTTACCCTTGAGGATAAAATGAATACACTTAAATCCATACTTACTAAATTTTTTTTTGTAAAAGATAGTTCTTTCAAAACTTTCAAACCTAAATTTAAAATATGAGATTTACTTTTACTTATTCACATATAAAATGTTTGTATGTGATGCATCTTTTTTAATTTTATTTTTAATAATTTATACAATGATTAAAAATAAAATTAAAAAGATCCATCGAATTAAGCTGAGTTGGGCTTAAGCCGGCTAGCATTTGTATAAACGAATATTAATTAAAACTTCCCTGCCCTCGCGGCGCACTAATATGTAGAGTAAATAGTGAATCGATAATTTTATTCATATTTACGAGCCGAAATCAAATCACGGAGAAGTGCGTACGACATACGAGTACGTGCATACGAAGTCGGAAGTCCTCGCGCGAGTGTCACACGCAGACGGCAGAGCTCTCGTTTGTGGCGACGTCAGCGCGCTCTACAGTGTGCGCTCGCATTGTCATGGTAATGACGCAACAACTCTACGCGTAACGCGACACACGCCTACCTGTTACCTACGTAATCCGTTATTATCTAAATCATTCATATTATAATATATATCATATAAACAGTATGGCAGTGTCTGTTTGTTTTATTTTTGAAGTACCAAAATAAAAATATACATATATTAAGTATTCGAATAATATGGCAGATAGTTGTAACTAACAAAATTATTAATAAAATTCATAGTCTTCTACAGTGGTAAACTTTATAAATATACAAATCTTAAAGCGTAACATTTGTAACGTTCAACGGCGGCAGTCGCGGGCTATATCTAGTTTAATTTATTGTAAGTGAATATTAAAGATCCCATCATGGTACCACCCGTCAGGTGCGAGAGCTGCGTCTCATTTACCATGTGATACGATCTTGCAATGTCATCGTAGCAGTGTCGTGTCTGTGTCGATTAATGTGTGAGGCGGTTTGTGAGCAGCGTACACTGTGATGATGATGATGATGATACACTGTACACAGTACACAAAACAATGAAATTCTAAACTAAAATATAATTTAACGACATCTTTATAAATTATAGCTTAGTTACTCTGATGAATAAGCTATATAAAGTTTCATCAAATCCGTTCAGTAGTTTTCGCATGAAAAAGTCACAAATATACATACATCCTTACATTCATCCGTCCATCAATCATGACTAACTCTTGGGTTTGTAATATTAGTAGGATTATCATCGTTTGTAAATTTAAACAAATTATGTATTAATATAATATACACAATTTCAGAAATCCAATTTAAAGATACTTTAACTTGGATAATTTATATATTTATAGAAAAGTTGGTAGTAGGGGAGCCGAAGAGGGGATTTTCTGTAGTTATTCGAGCGCGGCAGATTAATATACAGGGGGATAACTTGTACCCGGTTAAGTACCTCCACAAAACATGAGGCCCATATATAAGGCCGCCCGTGAAGGATACAGGATCAGATTAGTAAAAAAAAATTGACCATCAGAAATTCTCGAGCGCGTCAGATTAAGGTAGGGTGAGTTAATTACATCCTAAAAAGTGTATATTCCTCTAATCTGACAATTTGAGAGTGACGTAAAAAAAGGGGAGGGCAACAAAGTTGTAAAAAAAAAACGTCATCTCGACATTCTCGAGCGTAGCTAATTTTTTTTTTATTTTGAAGGAAATAATTCAAGAATAATGAAAAATATATAATCTGACGATTTCCGCAAGCCGAAATAACAAAAATTCATCGATAAAGTTAAATGCGTGCAGCTACGTGATGCCTACATTTCCTTTTTCGTGTGTCTATTCCTCTCTCACTCTTTCTCTATCTATTACTCTCTCACTCCGTCCCCACTCTGGTTTCTGCCGCCATGACGCCATCACAGCTGATCATAAAGACTCGTTCGTGGCATATTGTTTACAACGTGTTTCCAACGTTTTGGCTTTTTTTGCTATTTTAATATTATTTGTGTGAAGTATGATGTTGTCACTAAGTCTGTATGTATGTATGGGTGTGTGTATGTGTGACTCGCTTATATCTTTTCAACGACTAAACCGATCGGAATCAACTAAACGGCGTTCTAAAGATTTCCCTCAAAATTAGATTTCCTGTGAATTTGAACCGATTCGGACCGATAGATTTTGAGAAATTTTGAAAAATCTCAAAAAAAATAAGATTTTTTTTTTGAAAGTGGTTTTTTTGGAATAACTTTTAACCGGCTTTTTCAATTAACTTCAAAAACTAATCCGCTCTTAAGCTAGAAAAACCACGCCGATCGTCGCTAATCCGGTCAAAATCGGTTGATTCGTTCGAGAGATATCGTGAACGAAAGAAAACCGAAAAAAGTGTTTTTTCGGGATTACTCTGAAATTTTTGGTTCGATCAATTAAAACCTGAAAATAACTTATGAGGATGATAAAACTGCATCGAATGGCGTCAACCGTGTGAAAATTGCTAGATCTATTCAAAAGTTATTGCGGTTTGAAATTCCAAAAATAGTGTTCTATGAAACTTCTATCAGACTTTCGAGCTGGGAGAGCTCAAATGCATAGAAATATTATTTCTTTGAACTCAAAGAGCTCAAAATATCACATAAATTATATTTTGAGCTCAAAAATGTCATAAGTACAATTTTGGAATGGAATTAGCGGGAAGTTGCAGGTATGGCCTTTAAGGTGAACCGTTTTTCTAACTTTTTTTTTGTCAGATCAGGCGAATCCCTCTAGAAAATCGTCAGATTATGAGACAGTACGTTTAGAACATAAAGATGAACCATATATATCTTAATCTGACGCGCTTGAGTATTTCAAAATGGCGATTTTTTTTTGCACATTATGAAAATGGCCGCGAGTTTGCGTCCCATCGAAATCGTCAGATTAGTGAATGAGAGCTTTTTTTTGGTGCACTTAACACTCCCTTAGAAAATCTGACGCGCTCGATTAAATTTTTTTTTTTTTTCATTTTCAACCCTTAAATACAACCACCCGCATCATGCAAACGATCAGATTAACATACGTACATTATTAAAAATACGTAGGGCATTGATGCTATCAATATCTGACGCGCTCGAGGATGTCTATGCAACAGTTTTTTTTTACATATTTAAAAATCTATAGCCGCTTCCCCCACCGATGTAAAGGTATATATCATATAACATTTTTTTCTTCTTATCATCTAAGCTTTGCATCCCAGTAGGTCTCTACGACGCTCGAGTAAATCCCCATTTAGCATCGTGGGCTCCCCTAATATGGGTTACAAACAAATAAAGTTAATGAAATTAAATTCAAATAATAATCAATTTGATTTTTTAATGTTTTTTAATGTTATGTTAATGTAGCGCATAATTAATAGACATTTTGAAGTAGAGAGGCGTTGTATCGAGCTCGACGCAGATTGGTTTATGAGTCGGTCTCAGCGCAGTATCAACACATCAGCGGTACGAATTATTAGGCTGAAAACCGTCACACGCGCGCCGCGTGTATGCAGCAGCGCGGAGAGACGCGACCTAGAGCCTCTACCTCTCAATCATTAAGCGGTTGGCACCGCGCGTGTCCACACTGCACTTTGCACACTGCAGATTTACACACTATAATACAGTACCTGGGCGACCGAGCTTTGCTCGGAGTTTTTGGCAAACAAAAAAACAAACTAAAATAAAAAAAAAACAAACTAAAATTAAAAAAAACAAACTAAGAATTTGAATAAATACAAAAAAAACAAAATTAAAAACTTTGTGTCCGACCGGGATACGAACCCAGACACCTGTGGTTGTCAAACTTGTGCATTGGCCGCTTGACCATAATGCTTATATCTGAGCGTGCGAAATTATCGAACATAATATTTTGCGTGAAATTATTAATTTATTAAAATAATGCAAAAGAAATCATAATAATAATAAAGCTCTATTTATTTATTCATTTATTTATTATAAAGGCTTACTAACTAAATTTACATAAAAACATTTATTTAACATTATAATTTTACCTATTTGTATATAAATTTAATTTAAAAGTATGCACAGCTTTTTATAAAAGTATTCCATTAAAATTTTATTTGGTTAAGAGTATATAAGGAGCCATTTTAGTTGTACAATAAAAAAAATGTCTATATCACATTGCTGAAATATAAAATTATATAATTTAGTGACTATTTATTAACTTATAATTTTTTAAATAATAATTTTGTAATCTGGAATTAAATTACATATTTTAAAAATCTTCATATTATTTGAAATGATATTGTATATATATAAATTATCATTAAGAAATAAATAAATAAACAATCACAATAAATTAAATAATTCAATTGAGTAAATACTAAACATTTCACATTAATACATATAAATAAAATTTCTTTCCATACATTAATTCTGACAATAGTTATAAATTAGGTATTTAATTTCATAATTAAATGTATTTATTTAGTAAATGTCTTTTTCATGTATAGACCCCTCTCGGTTAAAAGCCTCCTCCAAAGTAGTCCTGCATAGAGCTCTCCGTTGGAGATTATGCTTGTATGATTGCAAAGGGTTTCTTTTCAAATTTTGTTTTCAATATATAATTTGTTTCTGATATGCCTATAAAGTTTATAATTTTATCTTTGTGTTCTTTTGATTTGTTGTAGGAAATGCTGCTTTAAATTCTAGAAGTTTTTCTGGTGAAGATATGTATACCTTAGTTCATTGTATGTCTGTTTTTCTTTGGAGGGTTACGGTCGAACTCCCCCACAGTGACCGGCCGTACTGGTGGATAAAGATGAGGAGGTTCCTACGGTGTTTAATATACTGTATCTTGCTGTGTTGTTTTTAGTTGTTCCTGGTTATCATTTGTGTGGTTGAAAGTTAACTTTGGTTTTTGTAATATTAAGTCTTTAATATTACCAGGTATGGTTTTCTTTGTATGTTGTTTATTTGTTAGTTTTTGTTTATAATTGAGGTAAGGCGTTTCTGGAGATACAGGCAGACTTCTTTTTTATTTCCGTTTAGTTTAAGACTATTTTTTCCTCTAGTTCATGATAGGAGTTCATGAAAGTTCTTGCGCCTAATATGTCTTTCTAAATTATTTATTGAGGTACTTTGTTCCTGGATTTTTTTCTCAAGAACTTCAATTTTTATTTCTAACTGTTTAAATTTCTCATTTAAGTATATTATTGTTGATTGTATTTTTAATGTCTTCTTTCATTTCTAACATTTCTGTTTTCTGCTGTCTTATTTCTTGTTGCATGTTTATTAGCAACTTTTTTATGTCCTCCATCTTATGTGTGAAGTTGGAAGTAGAAAAGCTGATTGAAAAAAGCACCAATTATACCAAGTTGAACTGCAATTTTATACCGAGTATTAGTTTTTGAGGTTATAAACTTATGTTTTAATATTTGACGCTTTCACTTCACAAATTATTTTGTTTTATTGTCATCACACACAGAAAAGATGGTTTTGCACTAATAGTATCTTTAAGTTATGTTTGTCACTTTTGTATTTGTTTGGTAGGTGAATTTTTAAAAGCTCATTTGTTCTTCAACACATCAAGACTTGGTGATGTTTACATATTGCCCATAGGTTTTATTTAAAAATTTATTTTTATTATTTAAATTTATATTTATTCTTTAGATTATTTTCACTTAAATATATTTAAACTTGATGTAAATACGGACACGATGTTGACAGTTGCACAGTGGCGCCGCCCACTCACCAGAAGTGACAATGCAAAAATTGTGAAAATGCAAAATAAAATCGCATGAAAATTCGAAAATTCGCGTTTTTCCAGATATAAGACTAATCTAGATCGATTTATCGCCCCCGAAACCCCTTGCATGCTAAATTTCATGAAAATCGTTGGAGCCGTTTCCGAGATTTAGATTATATATTGATATATATATATACAAGAATAGCTCGTTTAAATATATAAGATTTATGGTAATTAAGAACATAACATTTACAGCATATGATTTTAGATTTTAAATGAAGTGATATGGGACAATAATATGACAAATTATTTTTCATGTAAATATAATTGATTTGAATGGAGCTTAAGATCTCATATTGGTGACACATATTTATAACCCCTGAGTTGAAAGTAAAAACTTAGTGGCAGTAAACGTATAAAAATATTATGTAAATGTTTAAAGATAATAATCTTTATAATAATATTATATTTTTATTAATATTAACAAATATATAAATTCGGATTTACTTTGGCTCGTATAAATTAGATAATGTCTAATCGAGCACTACCGGTGTGTGAACGCGCTCTTATGTGCAGTCTACACGCTAAACCACTACAGCGCTCTTGCATTGATAAATACGCGTGTCATTGCGATCCATTCAAATACGCGTACTTCATTATAAATTGAATTCTGTAGGGAAACTGATTTTACTCAAATTGGAAAATGCTATTTTTTAACGTAGTTTATTATTATTAGTCGCATCGTCGCTATATTATTCGGTAGTCAAGCATTTCCCTACAACGTTCTAAATGTGAATAAATTGTGTCATCTTAATAAAATTTAAGTCTATACATATAATAAAATTGTAACTAAACCGAATCTGTACATTAAATATTTTTTGGAAAATCTCATTGAAATAAATATTATTATCTATACAGAGGCCGAATCTATAGTTTTTAGAATTTTTGTCTGTCTGTCTATCTGTCTGTTTATTACTGCATCACAGAAAAACCATTGGATTTTGATGAAATTTGCTATGGTGATAGCTGGTTATCCGGGTCAACATATACTTTTTTACCGAGAGAAAATGTCTCATTTCTGAGAAAAAATACAAAAACTGCAATGTAATAGTATACAAATATGTAAAACCTAAGAATTTGGTTTTTGGTGATCTGAACGCAGGCGAAGCCGCGGGTAATGCTAGTTAAAATATATATACAGATTGCATGTAGCTCTGCGTAAGGCGCAAGGCAATTCGTCAAAGCGAGAGTTGATCCACAGCCACTGAACTGACCCCGGAACTGATTCGAGTTTTATTAATACCATTTAAATTTATTCAACAGTTAGTGTACGCTATACGTTACCTCTGAATGGATTTGAATATCTCACGAGATATACCGCTATAATTGATTATTTGGAACGTCGTAATTGAATGAAAGTCGCTTAATTATTAGGATTAACATCACAAAAATCCGACATAATATATGAAGCATTCTATTCACTACTTACTTTATGAGTTAAGAGAAACTTTATGTTTTTAATTAATATTAATTTTCTATAATTTGGCCTGATATTGTATGTTTAAGTCGCTGCCGCTGTCTGTTCGCTTAGATCTTTTAAACTACTCAACGGATTTTAATTAAGTTTTCAGCAACAGATGAGTGATTCAAGAGGAAGGTTTATATGTTTAATACATGCATATTATAGTACAGAAAAGCAGAGAAATTCAAAGATTTTTATTTCACACTAACCGTCAAAACATACCTAGGGACGAACCCGAGCGAACTGAGGGTGAGTCGCTAGTAATTATATAAACTGCGATGTGTCAACACGCTTTTCTTATAATGTTGTTATAAACTTATAACGATCATATAATACTACTTCTTTTAAGCCATTCTATTTCATTGTTCACGTATAAACTACTCAATCTAACGTAGCACATATCTCTTTGTCAAACCAGAAAAGTTCAGCATATATATGCCTAGCTAACATAATCACATATGTACGTTAAACAAGTACCAGACTGAGGCCTAGTAAGTTAATGCAGAATAGGTTTTGTTTACACGCACTAATCTCTGAAAGTTCCAGTAAGATTTGAAATATTCTTTTTGTATTTACTTTTTATTGCTTTTAAAGTGATTTTAAATTTAAAGCAGAGATTTAAGTCTCGAGCGGGGTCGAGACGCCATCACGACATTCTTTGCAGATACGCGGCTTAGTAACGTTGGTTGATCATGGTGGATCATAGAGAGTTATGTTTTGATATTATAGTTAGAGTCGATGATCAGCGAATGTGAACCCGCTGGCTTCTCTAAATCATTAGAATTACCATTTCAAGTTTATAACATTGTGATTTCCATGATTAAATTGTGTATTGAGCATTGAATACCTTATTATTTGACCCCTGATAACGCCCACAAGATTAATAATCATTAAAGATTCTGTTCGTAGTATATGGATAACACGACATATATTTTTAATATTTTACTAACAATTACTAATATTACTATACATAATTATATTTTTATACGAAGACGAGTTATATTTTTATACCAATTAAGTGATTACATCAATAGTATCTAATATCTCGGTAATTAGAGGTAATCTAACACGGTTCGATGGCCGCGTGGACGAGAGCGAGGGCGGGCGAGGGAGGCGCAGGGCGGCGAGGCGTGCTGACGCGATGCGGGCCATTATCGTACGCTTTGGATTGGAGTTTGTTTTCGCACGATTACATTATGTGGACAGATATCTTGATTGACACTATTTTACCATTATCGATTGCCTTAAATAAATTATTTTATGAATGTTCGACTACTAATATAATATAACAAATGTAGATATATAACTATCAGGTGCGTTTTCTTT